AATGCCGGGTGTGAGCCGTGCGGCCCCGTCCGACTGGGGAGACACGGAAGCATAGATAAGTCAGCTTTAAACCGCTGTTATGCAAATAGACTTTATAACTTAAACGCGGCATTTTTTATGCTGAAGGACTCTTATTTTAATACACGCACAAGATCAAACATCATGTATCTGCCGTGCTAGTTTAATCGTTTCTCTTCACGACTAGGATATAAGCAGCTGGGAGATCCAGAAGAAAAACTGCACGTGGCTCATGGTGACACATGAAACGTGTACCAAAGACGATGTGGTAAGAGGACAACGCGATACAACTTCTATGTTTATCTAACGCAGTGTTCCTAATGTCATGGAAAACGTGTCGTGTAAAATATAAAGAAATTTTTAGGCTTTTTCTTCCTGTTACCAAGATGAATTGACACTCTCATCTCACAACAAACTTTTCTCTAGGTGTTCTATGTAATAAATTCTTAAGGCCTGGTTTGAAGAGATTGCTTTTAAGTTTAATACCAGATTCCTTAGATAGTTGTAAATGCAGCTAATATGAAACTTGAATAATTTCTTACTGTCTGGAGTAACATAATCTCCACATCACAGTAGCTCAACAAGAAGTCAGTAATTACTATGCTTCTGTAGCAGAAGACTGTCTTTCAAAAAACGATTTCTGAAAATCTAAGACACAGTGATTCTTTTTTCAAAGCCCTTTCCTTATCGAGAAATGACGCTTTTCTAAGCAAGTGCTCTTCCTTTCCTGAAAGATTCCTGTTAGTATAACAACATACTTTTCATTTATGCAGCTTTTTATCTGCTTTTTGTTTTCCCTTGTTGGATTGCCAGCAAGGTATCAACTGGAGACTAAATTGGGTTTAAAAGCCTTCCTATTGATTTCTGTAGAACACTTGCCAGTCTTTGGACAGTGATGACCTAGTCATTACCAGACTGCGCTGGGGCGAAATGAAAAAAGTATCATCCTTGTTAATACCGAAGTAACAATCGTTACATGAAACTAGGCATTTGCCTAGTAAAAGCTCTGTCTCGGGCAGCATCTGAGGTGATGCTTATTCGAGCAGCAACATTCCTGCAGGACACAGATGCAGGATAATGTGGCCTTTGTCCCGTTCTCCAACAGTTAGAGCCCAATGTACACATTAAAGCAGTAGTTGTAATACCTCTTTCAGAATGGGTCAGTTGTGATTAACAAATAGTTTGTGTTGTCCTTATTAACTGTTTCATAAGCTATGGCCATTCTTGCTTCGTTGTTTTGGTCAGCAATTCAAGAAGCAAGTAAAATGAATTCCTTTGTTTCCATTAAATGTAGATGTGTTCAGCTAAGCATGCCAGTGTTAAAACTGTCTTTGAGTTAAAAAAACTGTCTTGAGTTTCAAACTATCTTGAGCTCAGCTTGCTGTGGTAACAGCCTTTTGTTTACAGACAGACACCTGAAACTAGTGTAACAGTGAATTTCTTATCCTGCATTTTTAATTTAGTACCTTAAAATCCCCTGACATGTAAATGCTAAAAACATTTTTTTCAGTATGCTTTCAAAATAGTCTGCTCTCTGCATACGTCTCTCTGCTTTGTCCCAAAAAAACAGCAGTTACAAGGTCAAAATTCTCTCATTCAATTCAGAGCTCAGTTTACCATATGCATACATTGGCACACATGCACCAAAAAACATCTCCAGAATATTTCTCTTCATTAGTATGTGTTCTAGCAAAGCAAGGCTTGCTGAAATTTCCATCAGCAAATGGAAAATTTGTTGGTTGTTTCTGACTCTTATGAGAGGAAATATTTTGATTTTTCCCATTCCTTTTAACAGGTAGACTGCATTTATATTTTTTTTAATGCATGAATTGCAAGTGTAAGAAAAATGTCTTTTGACTAATTTTTAAACTACTATACTGTAATGCATGATAAAGCTTTGCTAGTGCAGTATTTAGGAAATGAGAAGGCAAGTCAGGATCTAGTATGCTGTGTGTTGTGCTTTTCGTCTGTCAAATCATTTGACCTCACTGCATATATTAACCTCAACAATATGAATAGAGGATATTTGTTTCGTAATTTATTTTTATCCCTTTATCCTCCCAACACTTAGCGAAAAGGCATCATTTGTTATGAAGTTCCTCTTTGCAAGATCACAAAGATAATCTCAGAATTATGCAATTAGCGTAAAACTGAGATGGTGTACTTTTTTCCTTGACACTCTATTGGCGTGAATCGGGACCACCTTCAGCTTTGGATTTTTGGATGTACGTACTCATACTTAAAGATGTGCGCGCGCAGAGTGTTCATTTGCACCAGGACTTGCGCGTACGTGGTTTTGCCCGCCCGTCCCTATGGACAGACCTGTGAGGTATGCCGCCAGCTGCTGGTTTTGCGTATTGCTGACAGACCTTCCAGATGTCTCGCTTGAGTGTCAGTACAGCGTATCTCGTGAGCGAGGTGTCATCTCACCCCTTTCTCCTGCGCGGGTTTTGCCGAAGGCAGTGGGCTGCGCTCTGCCCCCATCAGACAGTAACTTGCAGCTGTGCAGCGCCGCGCTGAAAGCGTTGGCTGTAGGGCCAACACACGCCCTCTCTGGAACAAGGGCCGCGTTCTGCATGACTGTAAACGCACTGCTGCGGTCAGTCATTAACTGAAGGCGGTTGTTTTCTGCTTCGCCATCGCTTTATCGATTGATTGCTCCGGTGCTTGAAATAGAGGGGTTTCCATTTGTGTGAACCTTTTTGCATATCACCCACAGGTACTTTCTGTCGTTACATGACAGCAATTACACTTTGACTCTAGAGATGGGGGGCCTGATCCTGTTCCCTTGGGTGTTTTCCCATCAGCTTCCCCGGGAGCAAATTGGGGCCTCAGACTTCATAGACTTGATAGAAAATAACTTTCAGTATTTTCCTGTTGAGTTTGCAGGAAATTAATGATTTAGATGCAATAAGATAATAAAAAACCTTGACTGAAAATATTTTGTTACATTAATAAGCTTTTTGGTGAAACAAGCATTGTAAGGCAGCTTTGGGGCAGTGCTGACATGCATAGATGATTTCAGTCAGTATGACTTTCTTAACTCGTCGTATTCTTGCAGAAAAGGTACCTTTAGAGTAGCCGTTTCAAGAGAAACAGAAACCCTCAAAAACACCCTCACTGAAAGCGCACAGACTGATCGCAGCTAATAACACGTTCTCTGTTATAATACTTGTTTCGGAGACAAGCCTGTCTAACATGGCTTCCAAGCACAGTGGATGCCAGTCACTTTGCTGAAGCAGGACGCTGCGTTGCTCAGGCGGCTAGAACAGAGCTCTCAAACACGGGAGAGCGTCTGAAAAGGGATCATGGAAGCATGCCTGAAAAGGGAGCACGCATGCCCGTGGCGGGTCCCAGCCTGTGTTACACGCCGCGAATGCCGGCCGATGCCTGCGTTTGTACTCCTGCCGAAATGAGCGCGGCCCAAGCCGATGCTCTGCGGCGCGGGGCCTCGGGGGTACACACAGCCAGCCTTGCGCAGCGCCGCGAGAGAAGGCGCACGGGCTCTGCAGGGCCCAGCTTCGGATCAGGAAGCTGTTTGGCCGTGTTAGCACGCGCTCGGGTGAATCACCTCAGTGGAGCACTGTGTCGGCACAACTCATTTCCAGGCCCAAGCAAATGCTCTAAATAAGTTAGCTTAGGTATTTCTGTACAACACTGGATTATGCAATGTTGATCACTTCTGTTTCCCGTCAGCTTTAGCACAGCTGTGGTTACTTGGGCATTTTTTAAAATCTGGCACACAAATTACAAACTGAGGCATTCAGGAAGACTTGCTTTCAACTTAAAATAAGAACATCTATGGAGAAGATGCTGCATAAATACATATAAATACTTCTCAGTGTTTAAAGGAGAGAGTGTTGCTTCAGCAGTTTTCTTTTATGCCATCATGTCTTAAAAAAGCATAAGACTTTGATTATTTCCTGATGATTTTATTGAACATTTTCATTTTACTAGAAAGATGAGAAGGGCTAGACAAAACAACAAAGTATGGAAAAAGAGCTGAAGTTTCTCAAGTTAACACAGCAAATTTCTTAATGCTGTGAATTAAGCAAGTGAAGGCAAACAAGGGGGGGGGAATAGTGCTTATGATTAAATAATCATAAAATGAAATAAGTAATATAACTGCCTCAAAGCAACCTTTCTGAATGGAAAAAAGTTATATCAACCTTAAGATTGCTCTGCAAAAAGATAGCAGGGAAAAGTAGAGAAATTGTAATAATAAGCCGTGCAGAATGTCATACAGCTTTCTCCACGCTCACAAATGCAGGAAAAATTGCCACTAGCATCTCGCTCCTCTAGCAGAGCTGAGGGGTGTGAAGGTAATTTCTTGAATTTTATAATTATGAAGTTGCTTCCCCCCTTTTTTTTTCCCCTTGTTTTGTGGGTTTATGCCTCTAATTTCAACCTCTGAATTTTTTATCTTTATAAGTCTTATACAGTAGGCTATGCATTATTATTTAAACTAGGATTAAAATGGGATCAAGTTTGTTAGGCTATGAATTTAATCTGCTGATCCTCAGAAGGTTTTCTGCAGTTGAGGAATGTACTTCAGAAACTAAATGTCCTTCATTTTAAAGAATAGTTTAAAATAAATAAATAAATAGATAAATAAATACATGTGCTCAGGTTTCATCTGATTGCAGTAAAACAGTCCTCCTCCCATGCTGCACTGACTGTACCAATTTGTTGGAATTTACAAAGAAATAAACAGGGAAGCGCACTTTTTAAAGTCTCTCTTGCTATGAATAGCTATCAAACCTAATCAGTTTAGCAAACAATCATGGAAATCCATGGTATTTCTATGTATTATGAGCAATGAAGAATCAAAAGCAGCTGAACAAACCTGATTGCTGCGAACTCATTTGCTGCACTTTTAATGCTTGTTTCACACTCTGACTAGCTTTTTTTTTTTTTGTAGTAACAGTACGTGTTTGCAGTATTAATATCAGTATTTTGGTGTATTTTCCAGATGACAGCATTAGAGAAGGCCACTGGTGATGTTGTGCTCAAGTTCGAACCTTTTGTTCTTCATGTCCTATGTCAAGAGCTCCAAGACGCACAGCTTCTGGTAAAATGACATCAAGTAACAGTGTTACATTGTTGTTCTGTTATAGTCCCTGCTGTAAAAGTAAAAGTGTTGGCTCCTGAGTAAGCTTTAGCACTTAAAAGTAGTCCCAGACGTGCTGTGTGTTTAGTAACTAGGGTAGTAAAAGTAAGCTGATGAAGAAAACACAGCTTTAAACTCAGCAGAGATTTTGCTGTACTTTTTAGAAAATAAAATTACTCGACTACAATTCAGTGTTTGAGCCGAAGCAGGTTGCCTGGTAAAAAAATTTTCCCAGTGAGCCTGGGTTGCGTTTGCTGTCTGAAAGTGATGGGTTTTTTGGATGTCATTTTGCTACCGGCCAGGCCATGTGGCTTCAGTGTCTCAACTAATTTGAGTAGTACCTTTGCCTTCTGCTTTTCCAGAACGACTCCAGAGAGTAATGCGTGATGGGTTTGTTCATTCATTAATGTAGAAAAGAGTTGATTAGCTTCTTTTATAGTACTGCTTGCACTTTTAGCTATAAAAGTGTTGCAGAACTGTCTACACAGTTACCAGCTCTTCAAGATAAAATAGTACAGTGCCCAGAGAGACGCTAATGTCCCATCTGCACTAATGGATTAAGATCAGATAATCAAGATTGACTGTGGTTCTTTGAAAACCAACCACGATTTGCGATGCTGTGTCAATTTGATCTTAAAAACATTTTAACGTAACTAGTATTGCATTAATTTCAGGAGATGCTTTTGAATAAGTTTTTTGCAAAACTGAGATTGTAAGTTGCATTGCAACGCATATATAATTATTTCTTTCTGTGAAAGTGCCTGAGACCTGTTTAAGGTATTTCTTTGTTCTGCAGCATTCGGTGGCTATCAATTCTGGGTTCAGGAACTCTGGTATTACAGTTGGCAGAGGAGGAAAGATTATGATGGTAAGGACTTTTCTACTTACCTGTAAAGAATGGAACAAAATTATATCGTTACTGTTAACCTCAATTTTTTAATTTTTTTTTTTCCAAGCCAAGATCTGAATTGCAATGTGATAGGCAGCTATCACAGGGCATGCTGTAGCAAAGAAGCATCTTTCTGCTGTAGTTGACAGCACACTAATCAATTGTGTGGATAAGTGGTTTTTTTTCCTGCAACCAACTCCCCATATTATTTAAATAACCTTCATAAAATAAAAAACTTTATTCTAGATAAATCCTTCTCTATGTGTTTTTAGGCTGTCCGAAGCACTCATTGCTTAGAAGTTCCATTGAGCCACAAGGGGAAATTGATGGTCTCCAAAGAATATATTGAATTTCTGATACATGTAGCTAATCGGAAAATGGAAGAAAACACAAGGAGGATTGACAGGTTTGTAAGATTACAGCAATCCTATTCATGACATCTAAATCCAAAAGTGAGAGAGGTTATGTAAAAAAAAATGTAAAAAAAGACAACAGACACCCCCCCCAAAGTCTAAAATACAATTACAATTAATTTTTTGAGCTCTGAAGACTATAAAACAGTTTAAGCAAAAGCCTGTAAACAATATGAACTTGCAGACTGTCTTTGTTACTGAGTAGGGTTTAAGTTTCTAATGATATCAGCAATTGTTATTCTAACACAGTAACCGTTTCAGAAGTATTCAGATTGCAGTGCACACTTTAATCCACTAAATGCTTTGCATAGATTCCAAAACTGATGATTTATGAAGGCGGTGGAAGGTTACATGCACTTTGCATTTGTCTCCAGCCAAGGAACAGAATAGGCAGAAAAGCCAAAGAGCGGGAGGATCAAAGGGACGCTGAGAAAGACACCTACATGCACTAACACCAGTTTCTTTTTATATGACCATTGAAAATCTCTGTAGTTGTTAAAGTTAAAAGTAATTGCTAATAGTAGCAGTCTATCTGATCATTGATGCTATCATTCATCAGACATTTAACCTGATACCATTTTATGGTTTCTGTAAGATTAGCGCCATCTTAATGGCACGTGAGTACATCCACTAATTGGTTTCTAACATACAGGCATTACAAAGAGAAGTGACATGGCATACAGAGGACACGTGCTGATATTTCTAATTTTTCATCTGGTATTGGCTAGCACATTTCAATGTTAGCAACAATTTTCTTCTCTTAACATGTTTTGTTTATATTACAACAGCATTAGTTTCCCAGGGTGGTTTTTCCGATCCTGGGCAAACCTGCAACAATAATAACTGCACAGTTGTTTCTTTCTAGATTCTACAAATGCTTAGAGTCAGCTTTAAAAACTGCCGTCAGTGCAAACAACTCACCTTCTGAGGAGACGGAGAAGAATCGCTTTGGGTACATTCGCAGAAGGAAGAGAAAGACCATTCAAGAACAGGGTGTACACACCTCTCCAAAGGACCAGAATGAAGAATTGGAGTCTGAGGATGATACAGAAACCAATCTTGATATTTTTGCTGAAATCATGATCTAGACTAAGACACGCGAAAGGAAATGGCAATCTGAATAGTAATTGTAATGCTCTTTGTAAGAGATATAAATACTGCTCTGTTCTAAGTAGTAACATTCTCATGGACATTTAACAGAAAAAAACGTAGTTAAACATAATTGTGAACAGGTTTAATGCCACAGAAGCACAGAGAACAAAACCTTAGAATGTTTTGGGTTTTTTTTTTAACAGCACAGTTGAATTAATGATCTTTTACTCTGTCTGTCTGTTATCACAGAAGTAACTGGTTTGCTACAGCCTGTGGCCATGTTCTCCACGGAAGCATTTCATTTCCAAATGCTGAGTTCAGGCCTTCTGATTTTTGCACCGCAGGGAAACTCTAAAACTGGGTTGTTACCCTTGAAGGTTTTTAATCCCTGTAGAACCCCTGCAAAACAGTGTGCACCAATATAGATGGCCCTTTCAAAACAACACACAGCCACAAGAACAGCACCTGATGTGGAGGTTAGAGTAGAAAAGTACAAGGTACGTACTTCTCTACGCCAGCTTCAGCCGCATGCGTCCAGGATCCTTCCTGACTCTTGCACCAGGCAGCAAAGTTGATGCTGTTTTCCTGCACTTGACTCCGTTATGGGGTTCCGGCCCCACTGTGTTCATGTGTTCTGCTTCCCTTGGCCAGCAGCTATTGTGTTATTTTTCTTTGCAACTTTTAGCCAACTCTGTATGCTGATAGTTCGTTAGCTTACTTACGTACCTTTCTATGTGGCCAGCACCCAGCTTCAGTTCTGGCTGTTGGGCAGAAAGTCAACCGAAGTGTATAGTAACGGGCTTTCTTAGCAGGCTAGGAACCACTGACGTGCAATAAATGTTAAATATAAAACAGCGTCATAATTTGTGCACTCCTCTATTGTACCACCGGAAAAGTCACTCCGTACTCATAGTGTATTTTTCAGAAAAATGAGGAATTTGTAACTCCCAGTTCATAGAGGCAGGGAGTTGTCATTGTTTCCATTACATAAGCCTATGTCTTGGGGACATTTTAATTCCACTGCAAAAATTTGATGTACTAGGTGGCAGGCAAAGGGAAAAGTAATCGGGGGCTTTAAATAGGTTCTGAAAAAACTCTTAGGCAGTGTTTCCAGTAGCAGGCATGCCAAAAAAAATAAGCTTGAGCCTTTTGTGTTGCTTGTTTGTGTTACTAACTTACAACTTGGAAAAATTTGGTGCGCTTGCTTTCATCTTACTTCTGGTGGCTTGAAAGACCTCAGCACCTGGCTGGGGCTTGGGAAAGTGAGAGGCCAAGACGTTTCTGTCCTTCTTACAAGGAGATTGCAGTCGTGTCTGGTGAAATGCTGGGTGGTTGATGCTGTCCTTAGCTGTTGGCTGTGAGCACAAATTGAGCAAAGAGCAAAAAGAGCAGGCCCTATTTTCCTCCTTTGTGGAGGGGGCAAGGCGCTGGTGACAAATTTTGAAGATAAAGAACATCAGCTTGTGAGGCGACCAAGTACGTAAGATGTTGAAATACCACAAGAAACCTTCAAAAGTCATCAGGCACACATGGTGTTCTCAAATCTCGTGTATGTGAGCGGACTAATCCTTGTTTGATTCTGACTGAACCCGGGGGGATCATTTCTAACGCTGAAGAGCTGCTTGCTGGGAGGCATGCGGCAAGGACCCCTCCCCTGGCCGGAGCAGAGCATGGACGTGGTGGGGCCGCTGCAGCAAAGCCAGCCCGCGCGGCGGCAGGTGGGAGCAGCAAGGGTCCCCGCGGCCGGCCAACAAGCTCCTCGGGGCCTGGGGACGGGGCTCTGCCGCACACAGCGGCCCTGGGGCAGGGGCTTGCTTCAGGCCTTCACAATCCCAAGTTCTTGTAGACCTTCCTTTCCATTCTGAGGCACCATTGCATTTCTTTGAACCGAAGCCCCAAAGCTTCCACCAACAAACAGCAGCATCTGCTTCAGCACAGACCAGCTACCCTGGCGTGGCCTCGGTGAGCCGCCAGCTGGCTGGCCCCCTTCCCGCTGGCAGGGGGTCCCACCGTCCCCACCGCCCGGGGCGTAGCCCCTGCCTGCGCAGGCAGCAGTTGTTGCTTTTAAGAGCAGGGGGGTGGATTTCAGAGTTTGTTCAGCACAGTCTGAACCACCTTCTGCTTTTAAAGCAGTCCTGAGGAGGTCTGGCTCTGTTGGAAGTGACTGCAAGTGACTCTAGACGCTGTGAAGGAACGTGGGCAGCTCCCATGCGCTTTGCAGTGCTGTGATCTTGCACCACACGTGGGAGGATAAAATTCAGCACTGGAAAAGCAGAGATGCAAAGAATCCGTACCAGACCACCTCCAGGCCAAAGAGTCTGTGTTTTTGAGACTGGAGGAGGCCTGTTTCAGAACTGGGAGAATGTTAACTTCCAAGTTAGGAATGCATGTGTGTAATGTGGGAGAGGGATCACAGATACTGATTTTGTGTATAAACCAGGACTTCGGTATGCTTTCGAGGGCAGAGCTGGAGGAAAGAGTATTCAATGCAACTACTTCAGCTTTGGGGAAGCGGCTTTTTTCTTTTCCCTTTTTAAATATGGTTTGTTGGAAATCAATGTGTGATATGATCCCACATTCCTCTTAAAAACAACATTAAATTCAGGAAGATTTTTCGACAGTCTTAACATAGAAAGGTTATTGCCATCTTATTACTTTATACCTGTTAACACCAATTCATGAAGACTGTTAGGGACCTCACACAAAAAAACCAAGACCCTACAACAAGAAAAATAAACAGTTGCATGATTCTCAGTGAAAGATTAGGGAATCATGTTACTTCAGTGTTTAAAATATTGAACAGTTTTTACAAGGTTTTTCTGATTTTTACCCCCCCTAAAGGTTTCAGAGGGTGATGCTGAGGTGGTGTTTCACCAGCCCTGCAGCCGTGCCAGGAAGGTGCAGAGCACCAGCACCGCCCGGCTCCACACACCCCTGCCCTTATTTGCCTGTATATCAGGGGATAACCATGCTTTTCCCCAGTCTTACCCAAGCTTCACATGCTCTTTTTGAGATTAATTTTGTCAAGCTGTGTTTTATTTCCAGCTCCTATAACTAATTCTGTTACACTCTAGATGCAATACTCAGCTGCAGACTACAGGCACCCCAGTGAAGAGAAGTTTGGCTACACACAAGAGGAGGCAGCAGCCTTTGGGCTGCTGGGGTAATTCTAGGGTTCCTGGCAGAAACAAAAATTACTGATAAAAAACGAGATCCTAAAATCGGCAAATCTTTACCATTTATAAGTGTGCTTAGCCACTTCATTAATTAAAAGGTATTTTCAGCCCAATTTTCATATTTGCTTTTGCTATGTTAAACTATGGGAACAGTTTAAATTACAATTTCCTTCACTTTGCATTCAGTTGTTTCTGGGGAGGCAGAGGTATTCATTCACTCTAGTAACTGATCATCTTTTTCTCACCCAGAACATTTAGCATCCATACCAGAAAATCACTTCAAGTTGTCATTCCTCAAATTAGAGGAAGCACTGGCCAGTCGTGCTCACAAATGGCATCCAGCAGGCACTTCAGCCTGAAAGTCACTTGACTGATTGACCAAGATCATTCTTTACATCCAAATCACAGATGTCACAAGCACAAGTACTTGCTTGAAACAGCTTCTTCCTCTGAAACTTAAGTACTTAAATCGGCTTACGAGAACGTAACTAACAGCATCAGATTGCAGCGGAAATCACTGTTTTCCAAGGGAGTTAAAACTCCCAGGATAGGACAGCTTATCAGTTTTCAGTCACGAGCCCTATTAATTCTTTACTTGAATTTGCCCGAGTCTATCTGCTTAACAACAACGTGCAATTGTATAAAATTTAGTTGCAATTCTTTAAAACAACTTTGTACTATTAAATATACCATGCGCTGGAGATTTAGAAGGTCTTCAGCACATTTAGTTACTGAAAATACACAATTACTTCACAATATCTTGTCAATTTGATTTTACATAATGTGATATTACGGAAGACGTTTAACTTCTGTTTTTCCAACAGTTGAAAATAACAGCAGTGCAGCATGCTGCACATTTTTTTTCCTTTGAAAGGAAATTTGAGTCTTTTTTTAAAAACGGATAATCATATGCCTAAATTTTCCTAACCGCCTGCTTAATTTCTTTACACCGAGATAAAGTAAAGCTTGTAAGAACTGTCTTAAACCTCTTTTTAACACAGTATCCAAATTCCGTGTAAAGTTACACATACGCTTTTATTCTGCTTTCTGGATGCAGTTTATTTATAGCAACTGAGCAGATACAATACTATGGTCAATTTTATACTGGGGGAAAAAAAAAACACCACCTTGCTTTGTTTTGACCGGGCCCCTCGCGCGCGGCGCTCGGAGGGTGCGGGGTGCGGCCTGAGCAGAGCGCCTGGCCCGCACACGGGTGCCAGAGCTCGCGCCCCATGT